TATTTTTTCTCCTACCATTGCCTTTTACAAATGCAACATGTCAGATTCAACAATGAAGTCCACCTAATGAGTGAGCATGCATTCCAGAGAAATTTAAATCTATGTAACGACCGACCCAATAATTCCGTGTATGGGTATGAATTCCCACGCCTCTGTGAATAAACATGCAGATGTTCATTCATAGAAATGGCATTGAAGATGAAGAAGAAAAAATGTTAAAGGTTTGCGGGTCAATGCACTCCTGACCTGACTGCAGCAGAATTTAAGGATCAGCAAAAAGCCGAGCAGTGAAATAATTAACAGTGCTATCTTGTTTCTCTTCAGATCGTATAAATCTTTTGCCTTTCGCTTAAGATTTCTGTGGAGAACAAAAACAAGAGTTTATCCCTAGGGGGAGAGTGTGTCTAGTGGGTTAGAGAAGTGCGATTGTGCTCTAAGAAGGTCCCTGAGCAAGACCCTTAACCCCACAGTGCTCCCCTGGCGCCCCATGATGGCAGCCTGCTGCTCCCCAAGGGGATGGGTTAAATGCAGAGGTAAATGTCACCATTGTGAGATCAAGAAAGTTCAATTATTATTATTATTATTAAAAATAATCTAAAAAGAAAATCTGAAAACGGTCAATAAAAACAACTGATGAAGGCAAGAGATGCAACAATATGATGTAAATGCTGTACCAACACGACAACTCCACAGACACACCTGTACTATACAACTTCAGACCAAGGGCCGGATTTATCAAGATCCAATTTTGCGTGCAGTAATTTGCGCTCGCAAACTGTAATTTTGCGCAAGGGGCTGAACCATGGTTTGCGGGTGATTTAACAAGAGTGATTGCGTAACTGGTGGCAGGTGCAAAACTGTTGGAGACGGCCTATTTAAATGATGGTTTTGCACGTTTTGTGGTTTGCGGCAAAGTAGTTTGTAGTTTGTACAAACTAGTGCATTAAGAAATTTAAATCGTACAGTGACACCCCCACCCCCTCCAAAAAAAAAATAAATAAAAATAATAATAAATAAGTATATATATTATTATTTTTATTTTTTGGAGGGGGTGGGGGTGTCACTGTACGATTTAAATTTCTTCTTGGCAACCTTTATTCCCTAAGGTGGTATGTGGCTGAATTTCTACTTCACTGCAGTAGAAAAAAAACAAAAAACAGGTGTTTTGTATAGGCCTGTAGAAAAATGCACATACCAAATGGCTCACAAGAAGTGACTGTGGATGAGATTACGCATCCCCGCAGCATTGGCATGTTGCTCCACAGGTGCAGGGGGGAGGTCGGGGTTCTCCGGTAGGGCGTCAGGGCGACATGGCATTTAGAACGTCGGACAGCACTTCTGAAAAACGAGATTGGGAGATCCCAGCTCTCGCTGCAACCGTACGCTGGAATGACCCAGATGCAAAAAAGTGCAATGTTGCAAGGAGTTTTGTGATATCTGGTATTGCGTGGGTCCTCCTTGTGGCTGGCTCCAAATCCATTCGAAGTTCCCCCAACAGCTCCAAAATGGCAATGCTGGATAAACGATATGTTTTGATGATCGTTTCCTCGTTCATTCCAAAAATATCCACACGGAGTGAAAAAATGCGTTCTCTGCGTCTCCTTGCTTCATTTCCTTGTCTCCTTCTTGCAACAGTAACCGCTGCCATGTGTGCGCAATTACGCATACAGACCATTTGCACGTTCTTTTGAAACATGTTAAATATAAAGTCAGATACCGTTAGCAAAATTGCTTTCAGGTTTAATAAATCACTTTGCGAGTGCTAAATTAATATATTTACATGTTCTCCTCCCACAAGACGCACTTTTGCGTGTAAACGCCCCATATTGCATATTCATTGCAGAAAAAGTACTAAATGGATAAGAGGCGCTATTTAGCACGTTTTAAAGACCAAATCCTTTTAGCACGCTGTTGATAGATCAGTTTGTAAATTTTTTAGCGTGCGCAGTGAAATAGCTCACATTTTTATACACGCAAACCTTTGATAGATCCGGCCCCAAGTCTGCCATTCCTTCATCATCTCTCTTACAACGCATAAACATATATAAAATGTTGCCGATGAAACTCTAATTTAACGAAGTCAGACTGACCCAAACCTAAATATTCCACATTTAATGTAATAACAAAGCTAAGGAGCTGCGATCGTTTTTCTCTTCTGGAGGTTATTTTAAAAGTAGATTGATTTCTAACTCTCCTTTCTTTTCACAAAATGATAACAAAATGTAACCAGTGTCCATGGATACCGACATGCCATCTGTAATTATTGACTAATAGAATCAAATTTTCATTCATAATTACAGAGTTGTATAATATATAATGATGCAGCTTATTAAGATAAGATAAGAAGATAGACTTTATTGATCTCAGAGTGGAGAAATTCACTTTTCACATCGGCTCAATAGACAGGAGGTACGAAAAGGTACATGGGGTATATACATAGCTTCCACACACACACACACACACACACACACATATATATATATATATATATATATATATATATATATATATATATATATATATATATATATATATGTTTGGATAACAGCTGACTGATTGAGCAAGAATCCTACATCTATTCTGCAGCGCTCGTATAATTTATTCCTACCTGACAGAAGATTAGAAATAGGAGAACAATGGTGAATCTGACATTTTAAACATTGTATTTTATTTTAATAATTCTTGACTATTGTATCTATTATAAGGATTTCAATCATTTTTTAAATCTTTTGCAGCATTTAGTCAAAGGAGTTCACTACCGCTGGGGTTTCTTTGCGCCGAGCGGCCCAGCGTTGGATGAGATTAGAGAAATGGTGGATGCAGGACAGGTGTGGTGCCATTTTATTAATTAACCCAAGTTTTACAAGCAGGAAGACACATTCATTCAAACATTCATGTTTTCTGTTCTCCTGTTAGATCCGTGCCGTGGTGGAGGAGACGTTCAGCTTCTCCCAGGTACCTCAGGCCTTTGAGAAGGTGGAGAAGGGCCACGCCCGAGGAAAGACAGTGGTGGAAGTCAGAAAAGGGGGATGTTGATGTCTAGCATGGACTCTGGACATAATATGGCTGTGTTTGCACAATGTGACACAAAGTACTTCGAAATGAGAGCAATGCAACAGCCCACGCTACCGAGCAGAGCAAAAGTCAAAAAAGGAATCTTAAATGAGGTTCCTGCAACTGCAACAACTTTTTCTACTTAAAAAATGGCCTCGGATGCAGAACAGCTGCAGTTACAGTATTTGCTTCCAATATGCTGGGTATATTTAAATAATTTGTTTGAAATAAAAAATAAAATAAAAAAAAAGCTTCTCTAGGTCATTTAATCTCGATGGTTTTATCAAGGTTCTCTTAAATAATAACCAAAGAAATATTCTTACATCATTTTTCATGACAAGTAATACTTACAGAAAGTGTTTCTAGTTTCATTTCTCCTATCACTGTCATGCAGTTCTTTGCTACTGCATGATAGTCATGTTACATGGTAACAAACTGAATGATTTTTCTTGTCTTTATTTAAAAAAAGGTAAAATATCTAAAGGGTATGAATACTTTTTCTAGCTGCACTTTAGAATGGGGGCAGATATCCGAACAAAGTAATCATGCAGCTAATGATATACCTCAATGGATCCTCCTGCTGCTTTCGCTGCTGCTTTATTATTTTTTTAAGTTGAAACATTGTCGTCATCTTCCCATTCATTTGGGTAAGCATTCCCAGCAGAGACTCTCAGACTTCCCTTTCCTCAGACACTTGGGCCCAAAGTTCTCCCAGGTCAGCAGAGAGACATAGTTCTTCCATTGTGTCCTGGTTCGTCTCCTGGGCCTCCTCCCGGTGGGACGGGCCTTAAACACCTCCCGAGGGAGGTGTCAAGCATCCTACAAAGATGTCAGAGCCCAGTGAACCTCACCAGTGGATGCTGTAGGTCTCAACAGGAGGGAGCCAGCGAACCAGTGAGTCAGCCACGATAGCCTGAAGATGTCCATCGCTCTTAGGTACTCAGGGCAGATCTCGTCCACCATGAAGCCTTGCCACCCTTGAGTTTTTTTGGCCACCCTGTTCGAGAGCCAAGCCTTTTCCCAAGGAGCTGGGTTCTAGAGTCCAGGCTGTGTGGAAGCCTGATTACTTCCAGTCGGTTTGCTCCCCCTCCTGCACAGGCTCCTTCCTTGCCAGTGAGGTGACATTCCACATCCCCAGAGCCAGTTTAAGCCTCCATAGATCGGGGCACCAGTCCCTGATTGTTCCCCCTGCAGGTGGTGCAGGTTTTCTCATTGCCTAAACATCCTATCAGCAGAGCTTTCCCCTTTAAATAATGTAACACTGAATGAATTAATGAATCAATCAATTGGATTTTTAATCATTATCTTTAATCCCAAAATCTTAGTGTATTTTTTTTTTATTGTTTTCCTCATCAGGCTGAATATTTTGACAAAACTGCTTTTCAGCCAAACTTTTCTAAGATCACAAAAAATGAAAAAGATAAGATACAAGGAAGAAAATATGAGCAGGGCAGAAAGGAAGGGTGCAAGGAAAGATGAGGGAGGGAATGGAGGAACAAAAGTACCTCCAGCAAAGGCGAGAAGCAATAAATGAAGAAAGGTAAGAGGAAGTAAAGGTGGGTGGGCTGAAAAAAGAACTGGGGCAAAAGAGGGCTAAGGAAGTACAACAAGACGGAAGGCATTGATGGTAGAAAGTGGGTAAAAAATGAACACAAGGAAGGGAAACGGTTTCCATCATCTACTCAAAATTCCTCGACTTTTCCAAACAGCCACCTGAGTCGCTGTTAAAATGAGTGACATTTTAATCATTGGAGTTAAAGCTTCTGATTTGATATCAGACTTAAAAGCTTTAAGTGAGATTTGGAGAAAATGTTATTAAAATTAGAATTACTGAATGGTAGTGATCAAGCAACTTTGATCACTGAGTTGTTGAAGATTTCCTCACTTTATTTCTGCAAACGTTCCCTGAAAAAGCAAGTATTCAAGAAGATCTCAATGAGCACAGATCCAAGAAAACAGAAAAATCATATCTTTATTCAAATCTATCATCCTGTAACACCAAATGTTTTCTCACATATTTACAACAACTACAGGACAACATTCTGAGTGGAATTCTGTTACAATCTCAAATCAACCTGTACATTTAAAGCAAACTATGTACAATAGAACAAAGAGGCACAGTTTGTCAAAACCTGGAGTGTTTTAGAAATATATCAAAATTTTACAAAAGATCACTTTAATGTACACAAGGAAAACCTTTCTGGAGTGTTAGCATGTCGAAACATCCGTGACATAAAAATACATTCACATGAAAATGAGAGGTTGTTGAAAAAATTTTAGAAAAACACCAGAATATGATGAAGGTATGCAGCATTGAAACAGGGCAGGGTTTTCCTTACATCTTTTTGTACAGTGATTTTGCAGAAGGCTAAAAAAGGCAACTTTTTATGCAATTCATCTTTGGAAACAGTAACCAGCTCATCTACAAGCGAGAAAAAGTGAAAATATCTGGGACATGTGCATAAATTCAGTTTTTAAAAGTTTGTTTTTGTTAGACCTCATCAGATCACAGGATCTCTAAAGTCCACCTCTGGATCATCTTCCTTTCATCAAAGTTGTTCAGGATGATCTGGTTCTTGTCGTACTGATGACCGCCTGGAAGAGATATTTTGTCTGTTAAAATACAACCATGCTTTCAAAAACCTTGCAATGGTTTATTGCTTAAAGTTGCCATCTAATAGTGGCATTTATTCGACTAGTCAAAGCTACATGGTACATATAGTTGGTGCACCACTGTTTTTACACCAGCAGGTGGAGCTGTTGGATAACAACTTGAATCACCTCTAGGAGCTGGACAGCACACAGATAAACTGATAAACTTATTCTCAGTGAAACCTTTGCATATTTTTGTCATAAATTACAAATTATAATCATTTATTGAAGAGTGAAAAATATTACTATAACTAACGAAGTTATAAATCAGGGCCTGAAACCTGTAAAAGAGCCATTTTGCTTCCAGTACGGCTGAGTAAAAGTCGTTTACAGCCTTAAATAAAGTATAACTTTTAGATGAAAGACAAGTTATTCATTTTGTTGAATTTCTGCTATAGCAAATCTGTTTCCATTAAAAAAAACACAACAGTTCACCAACATTAAAGGTTTTATAATAATTTTTTGTCCATAGGATACCATATTTTCTGGAATATGAGCTGCTCTTTTTCCCCCAAGCTTGAAGCACAGCTTATATGAAGGTGAGGCTTTTCTGTGGATATTTTCCTAACAGCAAGGTGGCAGAAGTCAAAGTAAAAAATCTAAGAAGAAGTGGCTGACTTTTATTTAGCTAAAGCACAGGCTGGCTGCAGGCACAACCGAGAACAAACGTCTTTCATTCACTCATTCTAACATTTATTTGCTGCATTAAAGCTGTTGAATCAATGAAGAAAATGCACAACTCCTGCAGAGCTTAAATAAAAAGAGCTAACAAAGCTCCATCTTTCATTAGAAGTTCTCGTCACTTCCCAGTCCATGCCGTAAGCAAAATCCGTTCTGCGCATTAGCCATCAGCTCATTTGCGCATCCACATATACATCCGGGTCGCCCTCGATTTTATTTTGTTAAAAAGACCTAAATGACGTTTTCCCTCCCCAAAAATAGCAAAAGTACTAAAATATAATGTGTTAAAGGTTAATAATGTATTTCCTGAGAATATAAATGCCTTAAAATTATTTTCAGTTTTTTCACTCCTTTCTGCCCGATCTGCATCGGAAATGGTATCTTACGCTACTTCCGCGGCTAACTTTTTCGGCTTTGGATTGAGGCTTTTTGAGTTTTATGTTTTTGTTTGTTTTAACCTTATGCTGTATAGTGCGTAATCTAAAGAAAGAAAAAAAACTAAAATGCAGATAAACATGGTTTAATCATATTTTGTCGGACTGCTCTGAGCATGTCTGATGATGACATCAGAGAAGCAGTTTAACGAAGAAAATGTAAAAAGCATAAAAATTGTCTCACAAAAGTCATAAAATATATTTTTTTAAAGATGTGTATTAGCATTCTTTAGTGAGTTTAGGATAGAGATAAGTAATTTTAATAACATCATTACATTATGTATGGAAACCCGGATGTAGATCTGTTCTCGCATGTTCAGAACGGATCGTGCTTCCGGGACGGATCGGGTAGTGACAAAGCTAATGAGAACTAGCGTTCTTCTTCATCCCTACTCCTGGGGCGAGCTCCCCCTACAGGTTTGGTGGGGGACAGTTTAGTAGATATCAGTGGCTTATAGCCCTTTGTAAATTTCCAGTTTTCAAAAAAACTTTTTGGGTGCATTTTAGAGTCCAGAAGATACGGTATTATATGATTTTACTATTTCCAACCTAGGGATGAGAACAGAAGATCTACAAACATATATTTTATTCTTTTAATTTAATTCTGTTGGGGAAAATCTCTATATTTAAAAAAAAAGACTGGTATTTGTTATTATACTACATTACGTAGTTCTTTAAATTATTTTAGCCCAATACAGCGAATGTAGAGATTAAAATAAGCCACTTGATGCCTGTTTTATATGGATCTGTTTAATCACTCAGTAAAGACGGAAGTGTCTGACCTTTTATTTCCAGGATGAGATTTGCATCAAGCTTGGTGCGAACTAATCCATCCCGTGTGACACTCCACTGCTGGCTCTCTTTGCCTGGCTCTGGAGAAATGCAAAGTCGGCTACCTGCCATCACCATGCTGCCTGAAATATCCAGGAAGTATTCCTCTAGTAACTGGAGACAAAAAAGAGGAGATTAAAAATTAGATGCAATGTAGCAAAACAAAGAGAAGATAAGGATTGATTAGACTTCTGGAGGACATAGGGTCCCCTTTTTCATCATTCTGCTTCATTCTATCTCTATTCTCCCACTCTGCAGAGTCTGCTAGTTCAATCTGTAACGTTCTGCTCTCTCTGCTTTTTCTTATAGTAGCTTCATCTGGTCTGTTCCTGTTTGGCTGTGACTCCATCCTGGAGAGAAATATAAGCTGTGCTGCTGCCATTAACACCTTTGTTTATAGATGTTGGAGATCTGCCTGTTTTCCAGTGTAGTCCTGTTTCTCTGACTGTTACTGGCTGGATGTGCTCTCTTCATCTTCTGACATGGTAGTTGGCTCGGAGCTCATCTGCCTGGCTGTGTGGTTCCTGGATGGGGTTGCCCTTTACAGCTGCTTTTTGCGTCTCTACTTCTGTCTCCTTGAACCCCATACTGGATGATCTGGTGAACTATGAAGTACCTTGAGATGACATATGTTGTGAATTGGCGCTAAATAAACTATAAATAAACTGAATTATATTGAATGATAGTTCTGTTTGGCCCAAAGGGTGAAGCTGCATCTTCAAATTTTTTTTTTCTTTTCTCTATTTTAGGTCACTGAAGAACTGATGCCTAAATACAAAAAGTGACAACCATCTGGCTAAATTGAGATTTATGGCTTTGTTGACGCAAGCAACAAACATTAGGAACTACACACTGATATTAGTTGATAAGAGGGCTGATTGCATTCTGTACAGTAGTAATGAAGTTGCAAACCTTGCATGATATTTGTCCGTCCCGATAGAGCCAGAGCTGCTCAGCCCCGCCCGTCTCCTCCACAGCCTGGACCCTCATCAGTTTGATGTCATCCAGCGTTCCAGTCAGAGACATCAAAAATCCTGTCTCCCTGTTCCGTAGACGGAAATACATCGGCTTCTGCTGGAGGGAAACATGCCAATAACTAGGCTGCATATGTCTACACCCTGTAATTATACTTAACAAACGATAAGTAATCTCTCATTAATATTTGGAATTACATTAATTATTAACTGAGCCATGCGCTATGCACTGAATCATCTCTAAACCTCTGATAGTGTGTCACATCAGATTTATCAGTATCTCTATATGTGGCATTTCTTTAACCGCAGTTTCTGACCGCATATTACGGTACTTCTTTCATACCTGCATGAGCGGACGGAGAGAGCCTATCCGCTGCCAGCCGCTGTTCTTGCAAAAGTCGTGCACTTTACCTGGATGCAAAAACAGCTGTCGGCCTCTGTAGTTGTTATCCTCATACAGCACCCACCTATAGAGAATGTCAAGATATTTCGGATTTGTATAAATATATTTCAGCTTTTTTAGACTAAAAATTTGTGCTGATGTTTTGAAATTCTCAAAAATGTATCAAATATGAGACACTTAACGTTAAATGGTTAAGGATGTATCAAAGGAAGCGAGGAAGAAAGGACACTGGACAAAACGCAAAGAACTAGGCCAGAAGAAAGGATACTACCATACAAAGAGGAAAAAAAGGAAAGACAAAAGGAAATATTGAAAGAAAGAGGGGCATAAAGGAAACACAAATGGAAGGAATGATGACAAAAGTAAATTAGGAGAAAAAGACAGGGAAGTAGAATGTATGGTAACACTCAATGTAGGAAAAAAATACAAGGTAGGAGAGGAGGGAGGGGAGAAGGAATGACACAAGCGAAAAGGAGGGAAGGAAGAACTGAATGCAGGACAGAAGGAAGGATCTAATAGTTTGAAAATGCTTGAGGTCTGAAAAAATAAATTTTCCCAACACTCTTCTTTTAATCCATATTCATGCAGACATGCAAAATATTGGAATATTTTAATCCAGACATCCAGGAATGTTTGACTTACATTCCTCCCTCCACCACTAGGGAGCGTATACGAGCATCCATGCCTCCATGCTGCAAATTTACAGTTCCGTTCGTCAAAGCCATTCTGCGACCTCTGCAGTCCACTTTATTAAACAAGACGATATAGGGCAGGGAAAATGCCTAAAGAGGAAGAATGTTTACTTCACAATCGCTGCTTTGGATACATTGACTAACTCCTCACCTCAAATCAAAGAGGATACTCACATGCCCGGTTGTCTGCAGTGATCGAAGGACACAGTCTGATGACATGAGGCCCATGGCGTCTGTGTTAGGGTACTCTCCTTCCTCCAGGACGTACATGTTCCCTTTAAACGTCGCTTCCTCATATGCCACCCAGCTGACACACAAAACACAGATTTATTTAGTTCTATGATCATGTTAAGTTTTGTTACATCTAACTGTCAACTGAAAACGTCATGGAAGGAACCCAAAATAAAATAAGATTTTTCTAAAAGTAAAAAAAAACTTATTAACACTTATTTTAAACTGATCACTGCAAACAACTGAGTAAACGACAACTATTGCAACTATTGCCGAAAATGTAAAGATCCGCTTTAAAGCAATGTTTGTTTGGCAGTCTATGACAACTAGGCAGACAAAGTGATGAGGAGGAGACTGTAAAGCTTTTGGAGATAAATTACACAACAATTCTGATAAATGTTTGTAATTCATGTATTTACTAAATTATTTTAACATTTACCTGCCAGCCATCACTTTACAGGACTTTGGAGTGAAATCCCTATCCAGGTCATCTTTACTGTCCTCCAGCGCCAGCAGCCTCCCCTGAAAGTCTGGTTCAGAAAACAGCTGAACCTGCAACGCACATTTACAGCCTTAGAAACGGAAGCAGAATAAAACACCCCAAGACTTTCCATGATGCCAATTTAAAGAAAAGATGTGAATGAAGATATAATACCTTAAACTTTGGAGTTCCCATCAGCATGTCCTGCAGAATAAAAGAGGGAAATCTTAGAGAATTCTGTTGAAAATAACAATAGTGAAAACTGTTAAACTAGAGCCAAACAGATCCTTACATGAAAGACTGGCTGTATGGATGAAATCCTGAAGTTCTGTGCCCCCCAGTCCTCAGGGCAGGAGTACATACCCTTCTCCAGAACATAGACCTCTCCACTGAACCCAGGCTGTTCAAACGCTAACCAGCTGCAGTTTACCCAAATAAGACACAGTCAGTTATACAATAACTAAACACATTCAAAAGCATAGAAACATCAACCATAGCTCATGGATCTCTAACGTTTTGTGTATTTTGCAGATAGCATCAGCTATTTTAAATGTTAATGCAGTTTTTGAGTATAAGCTGTACATGGGCGGTTCTAGACAGGGGCCAATGGGGGCCAGTGCCCCTGTAGATCATGTCCTGGCCCCTGTTATGGCTCCTGCACTGAAGACATAATACTCAAAGAAATTCTAATGATGCGCTGGAACAGACATGGTTACTGATAGGTCCTTTGGATCTATATAATTTCTTATTTTTTCTTTAAAAATTATGTTTAACTAATTGTTTAAAAACAATAAGGGGATAGCTTCAGTGGTATTGAGATAGGATCCCAGTTTTCATCTGCTAAATGTTGTTTTCAAAACAAATTTAAAAAATGCTCCAATTTTTACAGCTGCATTTATAGTTTTTTCTTGATTTCTTATTCTGATTCTATAGACAACGGTCATTTTAACTTAAATAAAGCCCAAAATATGTAAAATTCCTAAATTATGAATGTATATTGCCCTAATAAGAAATATAATTTTAATTAAACATAACTGAATAGAAATTTCACTTCATGTAGCTCTCTCTTAATATATTGAAACCCCTTGCCCTGTTTTTTATTTCATGCTTTTCTGTGCCCCCATGAAAACACGCTGGCCCCCTCCTGGCCCCCTGGTACATTTGGTCTAGAACCGCCACTGAAGCGGTAGGGATTGGATTGGTTCACTTAATGAATCTCTGCCTTTACTGAAAAACTAACATCATAAAAAGCAGCACTGAGTTGTTCTAAGAGGCGAGGCAGCTGTAAAGCAAACAGAAATATAGAGAATTGTTTAAACAGATCAAAGCTGCTCATTGGGACATTAACAGAAACAGCACGCCTGAGATATAGTAAACACAAACAGTGTTCTGACAATAAAATAAATAACGATCCTCTTGGAAAAACTCCCTCCCTCAAATATTGAGGTAGTATCTCCTCTTTAGTGCTTCTAGGGAGGTAGAAAAACTCCCCTTTAGGGAAGGAGGATTATAGAAAACGGTGTTTTGGTGACAAAATATAAATAGATCTGGCCTACAGTTTCTTAAAATATGGCAAAATTATGAAAGAATAAAAAATATAACAATTGCAAGCCAGTCAGCGTTCCCCGCTGGCTGGTTTAGGATTAATGAAATAAACTATAAAGCATTCCATTAATAAAGACAATCAGCTACAGAGGTAGCATCAATTAAGAGAAAAGAACATAAAGCTGCTGCAAACAGCTGAATGCAGTGTCTCTCCTAGAAACACACTCCTCTGAAATGGAAAAATAAAAAGCATAACATGGGCTACAAAAAATTACTCTTTTTTTCAATGCATTTTTATTATTTTCCTGTCAAACAATTGTTCATAATTGTATCTAAGCATTTTTAAAGGTTTTACATTTTTATAATTTCACAGATGAAATAACTGAAGCAGCATCAGGTCCACAGGACATCGTGTGTCTCCAGTGAAAATATATCAGCCTTTAGGGAACATCCAGATTTTTTTAATTGTTCATATAATCTGCCTCATTATTTGTAAAAATCACTGCCTCTGAGGCTGTCTGAGTGACTAGGTGTGTATGTTTTTTGTGGCCTTTCATGCAGGCTTTAGACCCGACACGCCCAAATCCCTCAAAGTACACAGAGGACACCCTGTCCTGCCTGAGCCTAACTTTACCCAGCTGTAATTTAACAGAAACTGGTTGACTTACACTCCTGCATTGATGATGATTGACTGGGTTTTGGTGCTGTGGCCGACATCCTCCATGCTAATGACAGGACCCACCAGGTTCGTATGAATCCCGCGCTCATTGAAGTCAGGCTCCTTGAACATCTTCAGGTGAGGAGACAGGAAATCCTAGGAAAGAGCATAACAAAGAATTATACATATAAAAAAATACATTTCAAGTGTAAAAATGAACCAATATAAAAATTTAGGTGATGTATTTGATGCTTACTCCAAGTACAGGTCGTAGGGACAGTAGCCCGTCCTCAGATCCTCCCCACTCACTGCACTGAGGATATTCACCCTCTTCCAGGATGTACTGCTGACCTTCAAAGTCTGCATCCTGATATCCAACCCAGCTTCAAGAATCAAACAGAAACATCTTATAAATATCTATAGTAAACTTCCCCTTAAATTCTAGAGTAAAATGACTGGTTTCCATTTTTAAATGGCACTTACAGACCACCAAGTATCTTTACTGATCCCACTGAACTAAGAGTTGTGTTCTTCCCGCCTGTTTGTTGTTGTTCCAGCAAGTTGTAGACATCTCCATCCAAATCCAAACACTGTCCTTCAAAGTTGGGCTTCTCAAAAACAAGAGCCTGAAGTAAAGAGCAGTCTGTTAAATCTGTGTAACAGTTAGTGGTTTTTGGTTCATTCCTATCTGATGTAGAAATGCTGTTGCTCCCATCTGTTAGAGCTAAAAAATTAATTATATCTTGTTTTATATTTCTCGTTCTCCATATCACCTGACAACCAGCAAAGGTTCAGATTAGCATCTTTTGTATAAATATGCATATTTGGTCATAGTTTTCAAAGCATACAAACCCAGATAATTCCAAGAAGAGTTATAGAAACTCAACATTTTTACATTTGAGGCACTTGAAAAGAAACGATGTTAGTTTTTTTCTAATATCCCTTTTGCAAGAAGTCAGCTTGTTATATCTAATGGTTGTTATTAGCATTGCACCGATACCGATACCAGTATTGGGCGGGGCTGCGATCCAGCACTAAAATGGTGGTATCGGTATTGGCGAGTACCAAGAAATAGGGCACCAATACCATTTTGGGAGCCAAAAGTTTATTCAACTATTGTCATTCATTCCAGGTAGGCAATAAAAGTTCTACTGGATTCACTTTGTATTAGCCTTTTTCCTGATTCACAAAGGTGGGCAGCAGCTTGACAAAGCCATGATGGCAATTATTTTACATCCAAGTAGTATGAAGTTTTTCATATATACACACACGCATCAATTTCAAACAGATGGTATCGGTATCGGCCGATACTGCACAGCCAGGTATCAGGTATCAATATCGGGGCCAAAAAAATCGCATCTGCGCAACACTAGTTGTTATGCAGACGTAGCGACGATAATATGCTTTTTTTGTTGTAACTGTCTTACACTGACCTTGAGAGCTCTTTTTTTTTTTACTTACCTCTCCTGTCTTCCTAATAAATGTGTGTAATGGTAAAAACAAACAGAGGTTCTTAACCTCTTAAACCCTAAGGGGGTATAAATAAATTTCTGCCTGACAAAAACACACAAAAGTAAATAACTTATAGCCTCAAAGCTATTAGATTTAAGAAGAAACTTTTGGTACGTCTGTAAAGGTAAGATGTCATAGAATGGTTTTCTGGTGTCAGCACCATTGTAGCTTTGACCCTGCCTGAAATATTAGGGACAAAATACAAAATATTTTGCATTTTTTGAACCTCGCCAAAATTTTCTTTGAAATAAACATTGCAAAACACTATCAAAATATTATTTATAGCACAAAAAAGTAGTACAGACTTTCAAATCTAAATGTTGTGTAAAAAAATACCAAATTTGGACTCAATCAGATGAATCATATTTATTTTAGAATGGTATTAGTGAGAAATTTATCAGGCGGAGAGGCCATTTTGGCACATTTATCCATAAATGACACCAAACTGTGCCAAATATGTTTTTTACATCAATACTGGGGGTTTGGTAAAATTACGAGGTCACGTAGCAGCTGGACCCGCCGGTGGGTCCGTAGGGTTCAAGGGGTTAACTAGTTTGGAGAGTCTAGGCCAGAAACGCAGTCCATCGATCAAAATCTGCCTCACCTTAATGGTATTTTCTCTTGTTTCCCCATTTCAATTTGTTCATTCAGCTGAATTTGCTGTTTTTATATCTGCAACCGGAGTGGCTCTAAGTGAAGAGTGTGCATTTTAGGTATCAACTACTGTTAAAGTTGCGTAAAAATTATAGATACTTATGATGTTTTCATACTTTTTGATGTCAGAGGAAAACTTACATTTACATAAACATACTTTTCATTCGAAGGATTCTAGATGATACTTTGTGCAGTTTTTATTGTCAGACATGTAACTAGTAGTGTTGCGCTAATGCCATTTCTTGGCCCTGATACCGATACCTGGCTGTGCAGTACTGGCCCATACCAATAACAAACTAATACCATCTGTTTCAAATTGATGTGTGTGTGTATATATGAAGAACTGCATACTACTTGGATGTAAAATAATTGCCATCATGGCTTTGTCAAGCTGCTGCCTACATTTGTGAAGCAGGAAAAAGACTAATACAAAGTGAATCCAGTAGAACTTTTTATAGCCTACCTGGAATGAGTGACAATAGTTGAATAAACTTTTGGCTCTCAAAATGGTATTGCTCTGTTTGTTGGTACTCTCCAATACCGATGCCACCATTTTAGTGCTGGATCTGAGCCCCGCCCGATACTGTTATCGGTGCAACACTAGTAAAACAAAAGCATCAAATATGGTTTTGTTGACAGTTCTGTGGCCATTTAAGAATTATTAATTTGAACACATTCAAAACGTATCTTATGACCAGGGTAATAAAGACAATTTGTTCCTATTTTTTACAGTCCTATTGTTAAATTGTGGGAGTTACTTAATTATAATAAAAGTCTGTTCTAGATATCCTTAGAATCCAAGTTCCTCATTCATTTTATATGCATGGAATTGCATTGCATTTTTGGCCAGTATGCTGTTTTTTTTAAATATAGTGTTAGGTCGTTGACACATTTTTATGCATGCTGCAATAAATCATTCTAGCATGCAATGATTCAGAGGGTTTCTTAACCCTCTGAATCTGAGCCAAGCCGTCGGAACAAGGAAACAGTCATCATAGCAAACATGCAGAGGCTAATCTTGTTCCTCTTATCAGCAACACTTTGTGCCTCTAAAAGTGAGCGTTACGAAGTATTTACAGGAAAACAATAACAAAACAAAAAAAATCTAAACTTAAGCATCTGTGCAGTAAAGCAAAAAAATGATGGAATAAACAGATGTAATGGAAAGCGGGACACACCTTAACGTCAAGTGGATTCTCTACCCTTATTTGTCCCTGAAATGAAGACACAACTTGTCAGGGCTAAATATAGCAAAACAAATGTTATCGTATCAGGAATATGTAGTGCAGTTTACCATTTGGAGCGGCCTGAGAGAGCCAATGAAGGGTTGAGGGAAACCCCAGCTCTGGGGGTGGGGATACTCTCCCACCGCTAGCACTTCAAGCACTCCATTAAACCCTGGATCAGAGTACACCAACCATCTACATATACAGACAGAGGGCATATCAGAATTATTTATAATAACATTGAAGAAAGCTCTCTGCAGAGGCAGTTATAACAAGAAACATTTCCCAGTTTGAACTGTTACTGAGCGCCAACCATCAATTATCCACAGCAGTTTACAATGACAATCACAAGCTGTGGCCTGTTGCTTGCATTCCTCCACAGACAGAGCGCTAACGACGTTCAAACAGACCTTTTCTGATTCTAATAAAACTTCATCAAGTGAGATTATTTAATATGCCTCGCACATGTTCATACCTCTTCAACTTGTTTACGCATTGGCACTACCCAGATCCAAGTATTTCCATTGGGATTTTGGTTGATTAACACAGAGTGGTGAATGTATTTAATGTAGAAGGACAGAAACAAGTAAGAATCTACAAATTATATTCTGCATTTATTTTCACCTTCATTTGAGCTGATCAGTTGCAGAACTATTAATAGCTGCAGTTACGTATGCAGGTCGTCTTTGCAACATTTGCCCATCCAGAGGCGAACACTTCTTCCCATCCTGTTTATTTTTGGGATAACAACTAAAGCTTAGTGGGATTGAACAGAGGGCGTTTAAAGAACTTTGCCAAAGGTTCTCAGTTGGATTTAGGTTTGGACTTTGGGTCATTCTAATACACAAATATACTTTGCTCTAATCCATTCCAATGCTGCTATCCTTGTGTTTTTTAGCTCATTGTCCTACTGGAATATGAAGTCCACCCTAGCCTCAAGCGTTTCTCATTCAAATCCTTTGTTCTCGTATTCCCCTGCATTTAGCTCCACCCAGCTCCCCTATCATTGCAGAAGAAAGTATTGCAATTGCCTGATTCTGCCGCCTACATGTTTAGTGTTAGTTCATAACTTTATCCCTGATAGTCTGTTATGTTGTCTTTAAGTCTTTAAGGAGCCAACTAAGATTATAATGCACATAAGAAGACAATTTACTAATCAGGAGACATTTGTGCTAAATTTGATATCCACACGCCGAAGAAAAAGGGCTAAATAAACCCCCAGATTTTTGTAAAAAAAAAGTTTTTAAAAACCATGCATCCATCTTAAAAGCATACTACTTTGTGTTAGTCTGTTACATGAAATCCAAATATAATATATACATTATTAACAACAAGATTTGGTATTTTTTCCTCATAAACGATAGGTCATTTACTGTTCAATGGAATGTTTGGAGGCAAATGCAAAATCAAAACAAAACAAAAACTTATTTACATGGATAACTTAAGGTAATTTCAAACTTACACTCCAGAGTGAACCTTAATCGATCCTGTGGTTTGTGGGATCCCAAAGGAGCCGAGTTCTGGCGTGTCTTCACAATAAGATGACATAATTCCCAATCCGTTGACCTCTGAGTACAGGTCGATCCTGGGAGTGCTGTAATCCTACAGACATAAAGTTTTTAAACTTTAACATCTTAAAATCTTGTGGTTATATCCTCTCCTGTTTTGTGTTAGTGTTGTATTAAAATCTCATCAAAAATAAAGTATAAAAAAAAAATCTAGTTGTTATTTAAATCAGTTTTGCACCAGTTAAAAAAACACGTTTTGAAAACTAAATTTTAAGATCTATTCAAAAATACATGAATCCAGATTTAGAGAATACTATTTTTCAAATTTATCCCAAACTATGTAAATTCTGCCTAAAAATCAATAATGCTAATTTATTAGTTTAATTAGACCAACCAGAATTACTGAATAATCTAAAAATATTTACAATATAGTCATCAGTTGTAAAAAAATTTTTGAAAAATCCAAGGAAGCCATTTTTTGAGACACCTATCTTAAATTGAGCTATGAAACGTTAACTCGAATGAATATGTTTTATGTTGTACAAATCCTTTTTCTTTTGTTTGTTTTGTTTTGTTTGTCTTAGTAGTAAAATGTTGTAAACTCAGTGTAGGTTTGTAGCTTCTGGAAAATCTGTCTTATTTTGAAAGGGTTACTTCCTGTAAAGCTGTGTAATAGAAAGACCCAATAGGAAGAAAGGATCACAGAAACACTTCACTGTCACTATGGTTATTTTTTTATTTTGCTTGCACTTTTCTAGACAAGTGTTTTTTATTTAATTCGGGTTTTGGACAGGACCTTTACTTTTTCCGAAAGTTCCTCAAACGGGATATGATTTGATCTGCTCCCTTACAGTAACAACATCTAAGGTCTGGCTTCTGGTTATGCCTTTTTGTATCACAGGTCTTTGATTACTGGTTGATAGACATTTCATTACATTTTTGGCTTTCCTATTTTGAAGAATGATTCAAACTATTTGAATGTCATACAGCGTAGAAACAGGAAGAATTAATGAATATTTTTATTAATTTTTTTTACAGTTTGGTCAAACTGTAAAAATAAAGAGTAAAACAAGTCCTGCATTTGTTATATTCCAATTGTTAGGTGTGTTAAAAAAGTGCCATAAGTCTTTTATATTTGTAAAGAAAACCTGTTTCAATCTGCACATATTAAAATGTGGATTTTAGGAGATTTTGCTGTTACTGAAATCTAATTCCTATTTAAAATGTGACAAAGGGTTGCTGGTTTCTTTTGTTAAGTTCACAAAAAGGAAAAAACCCTAAAACCCCTAAAAACCCCTTCTTGGATTTTAAATAATATGAAATGTAGCTTGAATATTGATAAACAATTGGATAGAAATAATAAACATTTGGAGTTTATAACTACGGTTTAATTACACAGACTGAACTTCAAATCAAAATTCAACAACAAAATGAATTTAGAAAGAGTTTTGATAGAGTAGTAAACATGGTTGTTTGTTTAAAATTCTAAAATAAATGTGACTCACTCTGACTGCCAGGCGAAGGGAACCTACAACCATTGGTGTGGTTGGAACAAGCTGATCCATTTGGTTTAACGTCTCAGGAGTTCCCTCGTCTGCCCAGATGTTCACTATCTGCTCCATGGGACCTTCCTCCAGTGCAATAACACGGCCTTGGAAGCCGGGCTTTTCATAGAGAAGCCAGCTGGAAAGAGAGTAAGAAAATGAAACTGCACCATAAAAAAATCCAAAACAAAGAAACAAACAAAAAATAAATAAATAAAATTTTATATATACCGGTATATGTTTTCTTGTGATGACAAAAAAGAGACACATGAAATGATTAAAAGTTTTATTCTAGAAACTGGTCTATGAAGGCAGTAGAAGGTGTTTGTGAATTTAAATAACACTTTTAACACACTGGGCAAAACAAAAGTGTCAAGCATAAGATTGAAATTGTTTAATCATAAGATAACATCTAATTCTTCCTATAAAATAATTAATAATGCTGCATATTAAAATGATCCTTATTACTACTGCTAATAAACTTATAACTCCTGCTGTTGAGCAGGGATAAGAAGAATAAAAACACTTTTTTTTGGTGCTTTGGTGGTTCCCTTAAGTATTGTTAACTTTAAACATTTGAGTTTTATTTTGTAAGGTGTTTTGTTGTACAATCCAAATGACTCCTCCATCTCCTGTTTATAAAATAAATTAAAAAAACACATTTGAAAAATAATCATGCTGTTAAATTATGAATGTGTTCATCTGGAAAGTAGATCATTTTCAGTTTAATCTGTTAGGCCATTCTTGTTAAACCCTGATATGCCTTAGGGGATTCTGAATCTGATAAGCTTAGGAAGACAATATTTTTGAGCGTTTTACCGCTTTAACAGAACTTTATCACTACTGCTGAATACAACACATTTCTAATGACTTGATTCTTATTAAAAAGAATGCTTTTTCCAAACACATAATGTAAATCAAATGTTAGTTCAAAGCTATTAACAGTTTTAGCAACAATATCTTATCTTCTGTTTCAAATTGTGATTTTCCTACTTAATGGTGCTGCATTTAAAAAAGGATATACGGTACTCTCATAGTCTTAAAGATTGTATTCTCTGAACTTTAATAGAAAGAAACCAATACAATTATATGTATGAACTGCAAAACTAATAATATTTTGAATGTAAAATTTTCTTGGTATCTTTATCACGTTTTAAATTGTATTATCATGACAACCCTTATCTAAACCCAAGTGGTTAACTACAGCAGATTAGATGGTCATGCTAAAAGTGAACAGACTTCAGGGTTTTTGTCTTGCAAGTAATTCCAGCTTGGCTTAACATTCGTGTGTAAAAAAAAAAACTGCATATTGTTTTGGGTGAAACTGTGATGTGGGGAGATAATAGATGTTAGTAAACCATTACGTTTAATCTTAATCTACAATTTTCCCTTTGTTTCCCTACTCCAAATAGATAAACGGAGAGTCTTCTTTGTGAAGAGTGAATCCCATACCATCCTCTGACGACTTTCACTGATATCACAGGAGATAGCTTCATTGTGGTTGAATCTTCTATGTCACTGTAGATTTCATATGCCTCACCACCAAACTGAGCATTTTCATGTATGACAATCTGCATAGAAAAACAGAACTTCAGTAAAAGAAAAGAACACTGCTTCTTAAAAAGCGACTGGAAAACATTTCAAATCCTACCTTTCCAGGTCTTCTGTGATGTCCTCTAACTAAAGGTTTCTGCAAGATCAATTTTCCAAGAAAAGGTCAGTTTTAGGTTAAGCTCAAATCAGGTTTAGCTTCACTATATAGCGCCAATTCACAACACATGTCATCTCAAGGCACTTTACAATTCAACCACATCATACAGTCAAATTGATTCAAAGTTTTCCGTCTAAGGAAAACCAGTTGATTGCATCGACTCATTGACTCAAAGGCAATCCCTTACTCATATCAGTAGGGAAAATTGCAGAGAGACCAATATCAAACATAGTGGAGAGTTATTTCATCCAAGCATGAGTTTTAGGTAAATTACTTGATCAAATCCGTGAATCATAGATCCATTGTATTCATTCATCTCTGTTAAATTAAAAGCAAAGCATTTTAAATCTTTAAGGCATTTTTTTTTTACCTTTGTAACAATATAATTAGACCTAATTTGTGGCATAACAAAAAGGCTTTTCAGATGGTACACTTTATAAATGCATTACAAATGGGTGTTATTTGCTTACTGATGCAAATATTTTGCCTCTAGTTAGGAAACTTCATGTGCACTAATATTGCAACACATTTTCTGTGCAAAGTGCCAGTCTTGTTCTTACTTGCAAATGATTCACAACTTGGAGGCAGAAGTGTCAAAGAAAAAAAAATGACAAGATACCACTTGAAGTTTGTGTCACCATGGAAGTAAAGCAGAAACAAATCTGTGCTTTGCAGCTAGAAACCCATTGAGACTATAACAGTAATTTACTATTAGTTGATGGAGTATAATTTCTAAAGAACTAAGTAAATTTCTGAGTAAAAAAAGCACCTACCTTAGCTGTGTGAATTCGATTGTGAGATATTTCATCAGTGTAGTTTGTGATAGAAGGCATTGCTGTAGGGTTTGTCTGGTCCACATCCACAACAGATATGTTTGGAATTGACGTGTGGTTGAGAGCCGGAGGGGTCACGTCAGCTGTCTGTGTGGAGTCCACGGAGGCCTCTGGCTCCCTTTCGTCTTTCTTAAGGTATTTCTCTAAATGATCAGGAAGCTTTGTCTCGGAGCGTGCTGGCAGAGGAGGAGCGGAGGAGGAGCTAAGTGTTGACTCACTAACTGCATCTGCTCCACCTTTTGTTATCTGGCTTTGATCTGTACCTTGTATGCTCCCATTATCATCAGGGGCCACAGGCAGAGGCGAAGCAATAGCTTCCTGCAGTCCAACTGAAGGCATGGCTTGTTGCTGGTGGGATGGCACTGTGTCATTTGAGGGAGAGGAAGCTTCTGCTCTTGCCTTCCTGGAGGTACGAGGGGAGCTTAACAAGCCTGTGAGAATGGACATCCTCTCAAGTCTTGAGGTCATCTTACCCGGCCCATTGTCTTGCCCCTCTGCTTTTCCTGCTTCAACATGAGACTCTTTGTCCTCATCTTCTCCTTCAGTCTTCTTAGTTGTCAGTGGATCTACTGAAGTACAATTCTCTTCAGAATGAGAGGTTGGACCATCCCTATTGGCAGCTTTCTGTTTAATTATCATAGCAGGAGAAAGGTTCATACGTTTATCATTTTTTCTTAAGCCAAACTGGAATTCCTGTGGATCAAAGGTGCGCTCAAAATGGTCCTCCCTGATGGCTGGCAATGGGGGAGATGGAAGTTTTTTCCGAATATGTCTCTTTCGAGGTAGTGAAAAGGGGATTCCCCCTTCCCTCACACTATTTATAAAGTCACTAATTGCATCAGGCTCAATAAATTCATCATCACTCACTGTCTCATCTTCATTTCTTCTACGTCCCTTTTTCTTTTTGTGACGATCTTCCACATCCAACCAAGCAGATGGAATCTGTTTAGGTGTAGACAAAACATTGACAGAATTTCGGTTTGGAGTTGTTTCCTTTGTCAGAATCTCTTGTGCACCCTCCTTATAACCTGCTTCTACAGTGGACATTTCTGTAAATGACCCAGGTTTATGAGTTGTTCCTTCAGAGCCCTTAGCATTCTTCAGATTATCATTTCCAAGCATTCCTTGAGCTGAAGCAATGGGGTATTTTCCCTTTTGCTCTGTGCAAACAGATGTGTTTGGAAGATTTTGTTCCAAAGTAGTGATATTTGTATTCTGTTTTGCATCATTCTGATTAGATTTATTTTTTGCAACATTTGGTATTTCCTTCTGAACTTCTTTTACTGCAGAGTCATTAGAGGATTTTGCATCTAAGATTTCCTTAACCTCAACTTTGCCATCTTCAAATGGTGGGATACTTGAGTCCTTTAAAGTGCCTGATTTAGGTACTTTTTTATTTTCAGTCAAGCTAACTGGTGATAGGTTGATTTGTACAAATTGTTCTATAGGATGCTCAACAATCTGACCAGTTCTGGCATTCAGATCTTGAATCTCAGTCTTCAAATCTCCTATTATCACTGCCGGAAGTTTTTCCTTTTGGTCTGTTTTGGGGTATTCATGTTGTGGTGACACTTCTTGAACTTGTGAGGCACATGCATTTTCTTTTGTACTAATTGAGGACTTCTGAGCCTGTTCTGCAGCTGATAATGGTGATTCCTGGAGGTCAACTCCATGGCAACCTTTAGGTTCAGCTGTGCTTTCATGATCTTGGGTTTCATGTTTAATCGTTTTCTTGCTAACTTCAATCATTAGATTCCCTAGTTCTTCTTCAAGATTTTCATTTTGACTTAGAGACATAGCTGACTGATCAGTTTCCAGTTTGGACTTTTCATCAAAAATGTCAAGTTTGCTAGAGGTGCTTCCGAATGCTTTTCTTTTAACATCTTCCGATAATTCTTTAGCATCTTCAGCACTTGGACTCGTGGGGCTGGTAAGCTGGCTTTCTGTTATCTTAGTTATTTTTCCTGTACATTGTCTCGTTTTAGGGTCAGAACTTGTATCTTTGAGTTCTTGAACTGGTTTTGGTAATTCCTCATCTTTTCCTGTTATAGTTTTGGGTGTCTGGAATTCTTGGTTGCAAACTTCAGTAATATAGTTCGGAGTTGCTGTTTTACCTAACAAAACCTCCGAAGATGTATCCTGATCTTCAGATTTTTCTTTATAACAAAGTAGACCAGAATCCTGGGTCTCCCTGCCTCTCTGCTTTTCTATCAGCTTCACTTGAACTTCTTTTCTTATTGTCTCTGGCTCAGACCCAGTTAATTTTTCTTGATCTAGTTTTGCAGTAATTGTGTCTGGGTCACCATTTACAGTGGATGCTGTGTCTTTTGTAATTTCAAGCCTCGACATGGTATTTACATTCACTGACCTCTGAAACTTATCTGGAGTTTTCTTTGATTGATCCTCACTTGTGGTTTTGTCTTGAATTTCTTTGGATTGGTCCTTCATTTTAGGCTTTTCTGGAGTTTGATTTGATTGGTCCTTACTTATAAACATGTCTTGCACTTCATTTAATTGGCCCTTACTCGCAGTCTTGTCTTGAAGTTCACTTGATTTTCCCCCACTTTTATTTTTGTCTTGAGTTTCATCTGATTGGTCCTTACTTGCAGTCTTTTTTTGAGTTTCATTTGTTTGATCCTTAGTTGTAGTCTTGTCTTGACTTTCCTTTGTTTGGAATTTATTTGTAGTTGTGTCTTGAGTTTCATTTGATTGATCCTTTCTAATAATCTTATCTTGAGTTTTCTTTGATTGATCCTCACTTGTGGTTTTGTCTCGAATTTCTTTGGATTGGTCCTTAATTTTAGGCTTTTCTGGAGTTTCATTTGATTGGTCCTTACTTATAAACAACTTGTCTTGAAGTTCACTTGATTGGCCCCCACTTTTATTTTTGTCTTGAGTTTCATCTGATTGGTCGTTACTTGCATTCTTTTTTTGAGATTCATTTGTTTGATCCTTAGTTGTAGTCTTATCTTGAGTTGCATTTGATTGGTTCTTCCTTGTAGTCCCATGTTGAGTTTCCTTTAATTGAACATTATTTGTAATCCCATGTTGAGTTTCCTTGCATTGCTCCTTACTTGTAGTCCCATCTTGAGTTTTCTTAAATTGATCCTTACTTGTAGTCTTGTCTTGAATTTCATCTGATTGGCCCCTATTTGCAGTCTTGTCTTGATTTTCTTTTGAGTGGTCCTTACTTGCAGTCTTTTCTTGAAGTTCACTTGATTGACCCCCACTTTCATTTTTTCCATGAGTTTCCTTTGATTGGTCCTTACTTTCAGTCTTTTCTTGAGATTCATTTGTTTTTTCCTTAGTTGTAGTCTTGTCTTGACTTTCCTTTGTTTGGAATTTATTTGTAGTTGTGTCTTGAGTTTCATTCGATTTGTCCTTACTTATAGTCTTGTTTTGAGTTATAGGTGATTGGGCCTTACTTGTCGTGTTTTCTTGAATAGCAATTGATTGGTCTTTACTTGCAGTCTCTTCCTGAGTTTCATTTAATTGGTTCCTACTTGTTGGCTTATCTTCAGCTTCATTTGAATCGTCCTTACCTATAGTGGTGTCTTGAGTTCCATTTAATTGGCCCTCACTTGTCATCCTGTCTTGATTTTCTTTTGACTGGTCCTTACTTGTAGTCTTTTCTTTTGTTTCATTAGATTCGTCTTTACATGTAGTCTTGTTTTGGGTTATATGTGAATGGGCCTTACCTGTAGCCTTTTCTTGAGTTCCTTCAGGACTTTGAACATTGGTGGCTGTGATGTTGACCTCCGGAAATTGACTTGGTGTCATCTCTTTTGAAGCTTCTTCTTGTACTGACTTTGGTGTACATTTCAGGTCTGTTTTTGAGTCTTTGTAGCCTTTAGGTGATTTTATTATTTCCTTTTCTTGTTTTACATCAGTATAGATCTCCTCCAAATGTTCTGTTTTTTCATTCACCAAACCTCCAACTTTACCATGCCCCTTCTCTTCAACTTCAGCATCTGCATTTGATTGATTTGGGGATTTATTAGTTAAATGTTTAGCTACCTGTAATTTCTCTTCACTGGGTCTCTTTTTGTCTACATTTTGCTCTATTTCAAAAGAGCAGTTGAGCTCTTGGAGATTTCCAGTGTCTTTATTTGTGTTAATGATTACAAATTCATTACCTAAACTTTCTGACAAGGTGTCCTTTACTTTAGCCTCATCTCTAGTTTCTTTACCATCTTGACTCAAGGAACTTGGCATTTGATTAACCTGGCTGACTGTTGTTTCCTCAGGAATTTCTTGTCTTGCTCCCTGGCTTGTCTCAGATTTTTCATCCATAGTTTCTTTTAAATTTCCATCTTTCTCACCAAAAGTCACTTGTTTTTTCTCCTTTACTAGACTTTGTAATGGTGAAACTCTGATTTCGGAATTTGCCTGTTGAGACTCTGGAGTTGCTACTACAGTGGCAGCACTTTGGTTTGGTAAATTGATCTGTTCCATTTCTAAAGGTTTTCCATCCTTGTTACCAATGGTTTCCATTTCATGGACATGTTGATTTCTACCTTTACTCATAAGACTTGGCAATGATGATTCAGTAGTTTCAGAATTTGGATGTTCAGATTTTGAGGTCTCTTCATCAATCTTGCCAACCATTCTGGTCAACTGAGTCTCTTGGCTGTTAGCTGATTGCACATCAGGGTTAGTTGCTTTTGTCTTTGCTACATTTTCTTTGCCATCCTGACTGTCTGCAATTACATTTTCTTTTTCAAAGCTTTTAGAGATTTCTATGGCTTCATTTTTTACCCTGTTTTCTTCATTGTGGGCATTCACTATTGGTAGGTCTACGGCTGTAGGATCTTTTTCATTATCCTCTGTCTTTCCCTTTTCTCTTCGAGCAGCCTTCTGGTTATAATTCTCATATCCAACTCTGTTTATGATATGTTTATCTTCTGCTCCAGATTTGGATTTCACTGATGTCTGAGCATTTCTTTCAGTTGTTTTATCGTTCACAGTTTTGTCTTTGTTAGGCAATACCTCTTTTTCTTTGGTAATCTCTGTAGATTCAGTGTCCAACAGTTTTGAACCAGTGGTTGATATTTCAGAACTCGGTTGCACTGATTCCTTATTTTGCTGCCTTGTTTTCCCAGAGTCACTCTCTGAATCTTCTTGCAGGAGGGTCTTCTGTTCGGCGTCAATCACGCTTGCTGTAGTGTTGAGTATTACACTCTTTGATTCAAAACTATCAGTCTCCCCTTTCAGGACATTTGTAACTACTGTCAGTTGTTTCTTTTTAGCTTCAGGCTGCAAGCTTTTCTCAGATGAGAGATGGTCTGTTTTCCCTGAATCTATAACTCCTCCCCCTGCAAAGTCCAGAGGTCTTTCCTCAAGCTCCTTTTTACAACTGTTTTGTGACTCTGAGCTTTCTATCACAGTGCGATTAAGCATTTCATTTGGCTTTGAGTCTTTCTCCCTGCTTCCAGATTTCCCTAAAAGAGCCTCTTTGTTTGAATGCTTTTCAACATTCTGTGGCAATTCACAAACAGTCACTGCTTCTGTTTCTACATCCAAAGCCTCGACTGGTTTCCATCCAACCTCCTCTTTAATTTTCTCCCCTCCTTCAAAACCTTTCACTGCTCCCTCGGTTACTGTGTGGTACAGTTCATAATTTACAGCTTTGGTTTGATCATCCAAAAAGTCCCCTGAGTTAAGGCAATCAGATCCTACAGTAAGACTCTCTAAATGTGCATCATCTGGTTTAGCAGGAAGATTTTTTCTTGTTTCTGATGTAGGCATAACTCCATCCTGTGTTATGTCATCATAAATGCCTTCATCCAAATCAGGTTTGGTTGATTTAATGGTTTCATCCTTTGGAGTTGGTTTAATGTCTGAAACCATAAGTTTAGGAGTTTTATCTTTGGATACTTTCAATTTAGTCTTTCCTGGTAGCTCCTTTAAATCATCTTTGGCCTTAACAGAGTTGTAAGTTTTAGAGGATGGTAGTGTTTTCTGTCTTTGTTTGTTTTCCTTCTGATTTCCTGGTTTAACTTGTTTGGCCTCCGGCTTTCTTTTATCAGTGTCAGTTTTTTGAGAATCATCTGAAATTTTCGACTTGCTTATTTCTCTAGACTGAAAGCTTGAAATCTGTCCATCTGTGAGGTCACTTTCAAATAAGGTTTCAGTAGTTTTAGCTTGTTTGTCTCTGATTTCAAAGGGTTTCTCTGCAGACTTAAAGTCACTGTCCTTCATAATATCTGCTGCAACAGTTTCTTTAACAGTCACAGCGGTATTGAGGATTGAATCCTCAGATTTTGGTGATTCTTGTTGGATTTTGGGTTTTGTTTTATTGGAGCCTCTCTGACTTCTGGTTGGAAGCTTGCTGCCTGATGTTAGAGATTCAGTTGAGTTCTTTATGGGAATTTTGTTCAATTTAATGTTTTCATTTTGCTTAGAGAGCCTTGAAAATACATTTGATTCTTGTTTGGAAGGAGTAGGAAAAAGACTTGATGTGTCACTCTCTTCATGACTTGTGCTTCTCTTAGAAATTTTAGACGTCTTTAAAAGCATGCTTCCTGTTCCTAAAAAGAAATTAAAGACAACTGTTATTAAAAAAACAAAAACACGGGTAAATAAAGTAGCAGAAGAGAAAAATAAATAACAGTGGTATTTCTAACATTAATCTTTCTTGGTATGGACATTTACAGTCAGAAATCCTGTAAGAAAAATAATTGAAGATTTCCTTTGAATGCTTTTTAAAGTTTCATGAATTTTGAAATTTAAAAGTGTGCATTAGAGAAAAAGCTAAAAAGAAAAGAAAACAAAAAAACTAATTAAAAATGCTTCAACCAAGTAAGATGATGTCTAAAAAATTATATTGGTTTAATTATATTTAAGTTCCACTGTAAATAAAAATTGACATAATAAAATGGGTCCTTTGGCCTGACAGCAGTACCCTGACAAAAACAACAAATTAAATAAATTAATAAAGTAATGGATTCATTAAATAATTCATGGAATCAAAGAAGCAAAAAAACTTTAAATTATCATTATCAAGCATTTTGACAAACAAAAATCACTCATCCGTAATTAAATTAAATCAAGGATTACTTTTAAAAAAAAATTATCAAAAATGGCTATTTTTACAAACAAGGAAGCCAAATAGATTAATCAAATAAATGATTAAATAATTAAAACTTTCAATTATTTGATAAAACCTTTCGGCTCCTCATACTGCAGACTGGATTCTTACCCTTCTCTGGTATTTCTCGCTGTGGCGTCAGTGAATCAGTTTCAGGTTTCTCATCAACAGGAGTGTCTTCTTCATACACTGGACTCTGTTTTTGGACTGTTTCTCCTTTGTCTGAGTTACACCTTGTCGGAGTAACGCTGATATGTGTTTTTCTTGTTGGAGATGAAACCGGTAGCTTACTCTTTGATGCATGGGAAGAGCCACTCTGTGATTGGCTCTGCTGCAGGGTTTCCCCATCAGGATGGTATCCTTTTTTACCACTTCTTTGCTCGGGCTCCTTCTCCATGTCATCTAAAAAGACCTCATCAGACTTTTCCTTAATTAGCTTCACCGGGGTCTTGTACATAAGCTTTGTGGGAGAATTATTTCCGGATGCAGTTCTCCCACTTTTGGGATCTTCAAAACTTGGTTTTCTGACAGGCTTTGCTGGAGGTTTTACAGGTTCTTTTGGTTTGTGTTGTTTTGGCAGTTTGGAATTAATTGTTGACCCCAAAAGATCCTGATCGGATATTTTATCAGGGGTTACTGGAGATTTTACATCAGCATCTGATTTTGAAACTTTGGGAATTCTCGACTTTGAGTGACCACCACTGCTTTGATCCTTTAACAATGGGAGCCCAGAAACACGCTTCTCAGTGCTACGCTCACTGGGTGGCGGATGATCACTGGTCATTTCTGATTTATTTCCTGCTGTGGTCTTTCTTGAGACACTCTTCACTTTGAACCCAGTAGTAGTAGCTGAGCTCTTTGGTCCACTTACAGTGGAACCATGCAGGTTACCCACGGCTCCTGTTCCACTGTGTTTAGCAAAAGCCATCAGACTACTTTGACTTTTTACTCCAGGGTCTGCATCTTGTAATTTAGACTTGCTCATGTCTAAAGCTGCAGTAGTATCTCCAGATAAAGCGGTTTCAGTTTCTTTTTCCTCTATGGATGCAGGAATGTTGTTAGTGTCAACCTGTTGAGGCTCTTCTGTTGTTGCTGGTGGGGCTTTAGTGATGCCATCTTTGATTTTAGCTTCACTGTCTTTTTGGAGAGACGTCAATCTGTCAGGGAAGACACAGAGAGAAGCACAGGCTTGCTTTATATTATGTCTGGAGTTCAAAATTGTAAAGAGGAAATGTTTACAAGTGGAACAATCTAAACAGGGCACTTAAAAAGAATAAACTAGGATTAATCAGATGATTGGCTTAATTACATGGTCCGAATAATTGTTAATTGCTATCTGACCTGGAGAATAAAGAGATTGCCTAAATACTGTAGAACCCGAATAACAACACGAAGAAGGCTATACATCCCAAAATCCTTATCTAAAAGCTCTTGATGAGATGAAGATAAACTGAGAAAATATGATTTATTAATCTGGAGCAGGTTTCTAGGTATCATCTTCATAGCTCTGGAACTGAAGTGGGCCGAGGTAAGAGCCATGATCCAAAGTGGAACAGTTGGGAACCTTTCCAGGCAAAGAGCGGGTGGCCTATGTATAGTAATCTAAGTCCCAAACCAACCAAGAACAATATCTAAAGCACTGCTGACTTACTTGCCTAAGTTAAGGTTCGATATCAAGTAAGGCAAATGGAAGCAATTATCTCTACTGGAGATTTTTAAGGTAAAACCCTTCCTGAATAAACTCTGGCACGTAACATTTACCAAACATCGTATCCCTCAAATTTGGTGAATTGATGAGACGATGGAACTTTTTGAACATGGTGGTCTTGACTTGACGAAAACTTTCAGAAAACCAAAAAATACAATTAAAAGTCTGACATCATAGTGGTAATGTGATGGTCTGGGCCCAGTGTTGCTCTTTAAAGACATAAATTAGCCATTAGGGGCTACTAATGCAGCAAAGGCCTCAGATGACTAACATATCCCACAGGGCATAATCTGATTATCTGTTTTTAAAGGCAGCAGTCAATTATTCTTTAGATGGCCTAGTCAAAGGCCAGACTTTAATCGGATTAAGATGCTGTGGTTTGACATTAGACTATTTATGCTCAGAAGAATAGAACAGAACTCAGAGAACAGCACAATAGACATTTATTGGGTTCATGGGGTGCCTATCTTACACATAAGGCCCGGTTGGTTTGGATAGCTGTTTTCCAGTAATCAATAAAATCATAAAGTAAAAAAAAGAAGCTTTTTTTTTTCTTCAAAATCATATTATACCAAAATTGATTGACATGATTGTAAAAGCTCTTTAAGCCTCTGGGCATCTTTTTAACTCTCAGGTTGAAAGTTAGATGAGGCAACACCCTCTAATGTATCCTTTAACCTGTATTTTTAGGACACATTGGGGTGGTAATGTAAGACTTGCAGCTTTCTGCATTTCCACACTATTGTGAAAAAAACAAACAAAAAAAAAAACAATAAACTGTTACCGCTTGAGCTGCAGTTATGTCTAAGAATCCGGTTTTAGTTGTACTTTTTTTGAAAGTTTTTTAAATATCCAGATAAATCATTTTCCTCCTATCTTCTCCTCATACTTCAGCATTTAGGGCAAGATCATTAATGTCCAGTACGAGCATCTACTCCTATGAGACTCTGTCAATCTAGCTTTATCATATTTTTACATTTAAATTTCAAGATCCTAATGCTAAGAAAGGAACCATTATTGCTCTACAAACAGGTTTTTGTTGTCATTATAATATGCAGTGCACAAACTAAAGCGTCCCTGCTCCGGGAGCGAAAAACACAAAAACTGAACAGTTGTAGTGTTTATCTCTTTGGTTACTCCTTACTCTCTCATAAAGGATAACACAGCAGAGGGTTTAATACATTTAATCTAAAAAGATAAATGATTAAATCTCTTTGAAAAACTCAGGCTATCTATGCAGAACTGTAACAAAAGCCAATTCGATAATCATTGCCTTAAAATTCTAAAGATATCTAAACAAAGCACACCATGTAGGCAATATCAGACTGCATGCCTGCTTATATAATAAATTGTTTTAGTTATTTTTATTTAGGCATGACCAGCTTCAGTCAAGTGTTATAAAACTGTTAAATAGCTCTTCCTGTGGATTGTGCACTTGCATCTATATTAAGGGTAATATCTATAAGCATTGAAATCTTTAATTGTAAACTGTTCATTTGGTGATTACAGCCAATGACAAATTGGAAAGTCGTAACATTTATCTATTCTTCTGGAAATTGTTAAAAATTTTCCTAATCAATTCACTTTATGGTATTTCTCAGCGCAGGTACCTCCCACTGTATGTGACCAACCTTAGCTACTGTAAATGAATATTTTAGTGCCTCTCAGTCAGTTCAGCTTATTGTTCCTCTAAGCTACAAAGGAACATGGGAACACTGATATCAGATTGCAGGCAGGTTTTATTCTCCTCTGCTTTTCAAGAGATCAAAGGGAAAAATGACACCAAAAAACATGGAAAATGAAAAACTCACCCGCTTAACTCTACTCCATTCGAGGTCTCGGAAGTTAAAGCTTCCTCTGCAGCTTCCAAACTCGACTCTGCTTGAATAAGGACCTTCTCTGCACTGACTTTGCTCTTCGATGGCAGACTCACAGTCTTTCGAGTCAGGTGGGTTTCTCTCTTTTTCTCCTTCAGGGGCTCCTGTTGAGGGATTGCTCCGCTGTCGGTCTCCTCCAACTGGTGCGAGGCTGTTTGAAACTCCTCTGAAGTTGTTGCCAAGGAGATGTCGGACTCTGGCAAGCTGCCACTGGATAGCCAACTCTCCGTTGGGGTAGGTGGGGTTTCAAACTGAGTTACCACCTCATCCTCAGGTATTACTGTGACAGGTATGGCCAGCACAGGAGGCGAGTCTACTCTAAAGCCCTCCTCTCCTTGTTTCATTACATCCATCTCTCCCTCCTCCTCCTGCTCCTCCCCCAGGTACGTCTCAACCCAGATGGCTTTATGGAGCTGGATGGGAGAATCCTCTTCGGGTGTTTGCTCTGTCTCAGGCGGAGGGCTCCATGCAGGGCCAGTTTGCTCAGACAGGCCAAAGGAAGGTTTATTGACTCCTGAATGTTCCTTTTGTGAGTCTGGAGCTTTTTTGTCTTGCTGATTAGTAGCGGTATGTGATGTGGATAACTGATGGCTTAAAGTAATTCCTTTTAACACAGTGCTGTGGCCCTTCTCTCCAACTTTCACCATGGTTTTCTTTGATGCTAAGCATATGGAGATTAAGTTAGGAGACTTTGGGCTGTCCACTTTTAAAGAAATTGGGGTTTTAAGTGACATTGGGGTCGTTGGGGTGACAATGATCTCCTCTCTGGAACTCTGGACATTGTTGTCCAAATTAACCTGCAATCTCTTGCTAACTTCTTCCACCACTGAATCTGCAAATCCCAAATCAGAATCAGAGTTTGGGCAAACAGGAGATGAAAAATCTGCACTGGTGGGAGTGATATTCCCAGAATTCTTTTGAACTCCATCTGTGCTGACCCTGGATATAGGGACCTCCTTCACGCTGCTCCTGCCACTGCTGCCGCTGTCTGCGAAAGGGAGATCTGGGTCAACTGCAATCAGAGAGGACACGCTAGGGCCAGAGCTTTGGCTGAGGGAGTCATCCAGCTCAACTTTGGCGGAAGCATCCTGTGATCGTTTATGGGAATCTGTGAGAGGCGTTAATTCATCCTCTAGTTGGGATGTAAAGAAACGGGGAGATACAGGAGATGTTGGCTGGCTTGAATTTGCAGAGCTGTTAGACTGATGCCGACTATTGCTTTTCTTTTTGTTTAAAAAGTTGGCGATTCGACCAAACATGCCTCTTTTTTCTCCCTACGAGGAAGACAAACAAGAAGAAAACACATGAATAAGAAACACGGATGAGAAAAAAATCTGGAAAAGCAAGCACATTAACAAGAATACACACACGTTGATTTGTTTGCGCTCCAGTTTTAAGGTGTAATTAAAAAATATTTATTTAGAAATCATCAAGTTATACAATCTTTTCATCTAATAAATGCAAATATATAATAAGCCAAAAGGAAACTAACCTTATTCGTTTTATAAAAAAATCATGGCCTTTATCTTAAAACACATTTATTAGTGATAGTTTTACTTAAGTTGTACTACATTTATTTCAAAGATCTTGATCTTGTGATTTTCCCAAGGAAATATTGTTTATTTTTTTACTTTAGGATTTTATATTTCTGAAGATTCTAGTTGTAGTTTCTGAATTTCATCTACTTATCTTTTAATCTGTCACTCACCTAATATTAACCAGCAGCACTTATAGAGTCCAGTTTTATCAGTCTGTTGTGGTTTCTGAATGGATCTCTCTTATTGGACACTGGTTATTTTATACACCTTAGAGTACTTTCTAAGAAGTTTACAGTCCAAGTTTAATTTTAAATTTTCTATTTTTTTGTGCTCATAGAAGGGCTAAATTAGTGCAGGCATTATGTTGTGTCATAGTCAAACATCAATCTAAATGACTAACCAGGCAATTATAAATACCTTTCGGGTAAAGATCAAGGGTCACTTCATTACAAATGCTAACTAGTATCAAATGAAGGAAAATGTTTTGATTTAGACACTTTATCAATGTGTGATAATATTAAAGATGCATTTAATCAAACTATTATAGAATTATTAATTATATCAGTAATTCTGTCTACAAAGCATAACTAATTTTTGTGATTTCTTTTATTTTTTAATATTTAAATCTTCAGTTTAATTAAGGTAGATTTGGATATTTATTATTTAATTAAAAAAGGTTGTTTCAATCAAAATATGTATTTTGAATAAAATAAATTATTTTAAGAAAAAAACACAATCTGAAAAAAAGTATTTGAATGTAAAATATAGTTGAGACTCAAAAATTAATTTGAACACTGAATGAACATTTATTTTTATATAAGTGAAGGTATTTTTGCTTGAAGCATCTTTTTAATCTAATTACGGTTGTTTTGTGTTTTGACCATATACTGGGTAGGACATGTATGTCTTTATAATTCAATCACAAAGGAAGTTGTTTCAAATTTTTGAAATAAATTAAGAAAATAGTCACTTTATTGAAAATAAAAATCTTTGCAATCATAGAAAATAAGTTTTTAAATACAAAAGACAAATATTTGAGGCTAAAAAATAGCATTCAAATGCTTTTCTTTGTTTCAATTGAAAGTGTTTTCCTTGATTGAATGAATCTTTTTTGTCTTTGAGGCAAACATTTGGTAAGAAATGCGTGCCTCAATTGTTCAATCCCCCCAAAAAATGCTTCAGTTGAAAAATCTAAATTCTGTTAAAGAAAAAATAACTCCCCCTCCAAAAAAAACCCCCTTCTTTTTATTAAAGCAACCTTTTTTTAATTGAATAATAAAGAAACAAGGGGTGTCGCAGCCTAGTGGTTAGGGCCTTGTGCTTGGAATCCAGAGGGTTTCGCCTACTGCTCCCCAAGGGGATGGGTTAAATGCAGAGAGTGAATTTCGTTGCTCTGTACTTGTGACAGTGTAATCACAATTAAAAGCCGGAAACCCTCCCCCCCAAAAAAATCTTATTTTAGCTATAAATATTATGAAGGACTATCTGTTGAAAAGCCTGCTGAAAGGTTTGTTTGTTGTAGTGTAAAATATATTCAGTCACTGTTTGACTTAAAATGTAATGCTTCAATCAAGCTTGACATTTTTTGTTTGTTTTTTATGGCCCTAGTGGCTCGTTTTTTGGACAGTAGGCTGACAGGAAAGGGGGAATGAGAGAGGGGTAGAGACATGCAGCAAAGGACCACAGGTCAGACTCGAACCCAAGTCAGCTGCGTCGAGGAGTAAAGGGCTGGTTATACTACTCGCAGCAGTGTGTTGCAGTGAGCTTGTCGCAGATATTTTTGATTTATGCCCAATATCGAAGCGTGGTCTGCGCGATGTTAGAGGGACAATCACGAACAAGCTGTGGGTCTAGATAAGGTCAAGGCAGTACATGAGGGACATGGGGGCAAAAAAGAGCCGGGATCCAGGTGGAAAAAGGGTCCCAGCGTTCTCGTGCGCCTCACTCTTCTAGCTGGTCTATCTTCACGAGACGTTTTCCACAATGGTGGTCATACAAACAAACTGAGCCGGTAAGGTACCAAACAGGAAATACGCATAGGGTAGAGCGGATGTAGGTTTAACCATTGAGAGGCCTCCTGTCTGCAGTCACCTACAATTTTGGAGAGGTGCACCAAAGTGTCTGTGGAAGGGGCGGGGGCATATCTGCCTTCACGACGACAAACGCAGACGGCCTGGTTTCTGAGCTTCCACTGCACCACCAAAGCACGCCCAAACCTCCTCCTAACTTTTAAGGATTCTTTCTTCAAACTTCTCTTCAGGCGGTTAATACATTATAGGTTTGCACATGGTATATGGCCTGTGCTTATATAGCGCTTTTTTCAAGTCAGGAGACTTGACTAAAGCTCTTTACACTACATTACACTAAACTAAATTGAAGGATTGACGGTTCAAGCCCCAACTCCGACTTTCAGTGTCGTTGTGTCCTTGGGCAAGACACTTCACCTGCATTGTCTACTGATGGTGGTCAGAGGGCCCGGTGGCGCCAGTGTACGGCAGCTCCGCTTCTGTCAGTGAGCCCCAGGGCAGCTGTGGCTACAATGTAGCTTGATACCATCAGTGTGTGAATGGGTGAATGAATGTAGTGTAAAGCGCTTTGGTCAAGTCTCCTGACTTGAATAAGGGCGCTATATAAGTACATACCATTTACCATTTACCCTCAGTCATTCACACTCACATACTGATGTTGGCAAACTACATTGTAGCCACAGCTGCCCTGGGGCTCACTGACAGAAGCGGGGCTGCCGTACACCGGGCCCTCTGACCACCATCAGTAAGCAATGCGGGGGAAGGGTCTTGACCAAGCACACAACAACACTGAGAGCTGGAGCCGGACCTAGAACCGACAACCCTAGTCGTCCGACGCCACTGCCGCCCAAGTTTCTGACACACTTCTACATCATGATCTGGCCTGATTCCCCCAGCTTAATTGTTTATTTCATTCACCTGCCATTCCCTCCCTGCTGTAATAACATTTATTTCATTGACCTTTTGGCTTCATATTTAGTTCAGTCTGAGCATTCGTGTCCAGATCACTATTTTTTCTCTGTTTCGTCGGTTAGTCAGTTTTTTTTGTTGTTGTTATTTTCACGGTTCCTGTTGGCCAGTGGAAAGAGAGGGTTTTGTGTTTCTGCCTCGTCTCCTGATCGTGTCTTGTTCCTTCCCCGTGGAGTCCTCAGGGTTTTGGCTTAGTACCCAGGGAGGATCAGTTTTATCCCTGTAAGCTTGGCTCCAAGTAGGAGACCCGTTTAAAGTTCCTGCTCAAGTTTTGGTTTCAGCATCCTGTCTCTGTTACCCTCACCACTGAGCCTGCCAGTCTGCATCTGAGCCTGTTCTGCATCTGTGCATGTCCACCTGGTCACGGACTCTGAACCTGCCTGGGAGCTCTGAGGATTCCTGGAAGCCTGGATCCAACTGTTCCTGCTTGATATGTCTTCCCCTGACTTGGATCGGCTTCCTGCAAGCTCTCTGGGGCTGCAGCATTGGGGACATTGTTTGATGCACGCTGCGCGGGTTGGAATCCCATCGGCCCCACGCGCCTCTCATGGACTGGTGACGGTGCCGGGCTGGACTATCAGACCAGGTAAGTGACTCACACAATCACCTTCTGTCAGATGATCGTGGTTACTTACCTGTGTTTCTCTCCTAAACCAGAGTGTCTGTGATTGGGCGGTGCCCTGCCCCCCTTCCTGCAATCGCCGTGAGCCACAGCCCCGCTCTCCCCTTCTGTTTCTGTTTGTTTTATTTTAATAAACGTTTTGAACTTTCCTACTAGCTGTCTCACCTTGAATACTGGGGTCCATCTGTCCCATCTCATGACATTCTAGTTATATTTCCTTTAATATCCTTCAAAACATCAAAATGCTTCTTTAAAAATGACTGTATGTGGCTTACACTCCTTGAGGATTTGACGACTGTATACTGAACAACTATTACGTCTGCAGTTTCCCCATGATTATGTAAGGTAGAACATAAAAGTCATGTATTCAATAAACATATTTATCACTCTCATGTAGCATTCACACATTTAGAATGTTGAGGTTTCGTAGGCTGTAAGCCACAAGTATCATGACTTGCAAGATAGCTTTGAGTGTAATGAATTTATATAATACACAAGTTTCAGTTTTCTGACTGAATTACTAAGATGAGTCCAACATATTTGCACCACATAAAAAAAAACAAACAGACTTGCATAGTAAAAATCAGCTAACGTTAAAAAATCTGCTCTGCTATTTTCTAAGTAAATAAGACATGTACGGACGGGAGACGTGGATCACCAAAGGAGAACAACTGACACCAGCACCCAAAACAAGAACCCAGTACCTGATCAGTTTGACTTCCTGGATTCAGAGATTTCTTTTGCAGCTGAGAGTAAAGGGCAATCACATTCCCTCAGATAATGAACCAACCTGTACTTATAAGCAGGCTGTCTCCTATCTGCTGCCTTGACTATTAACGACAAATCTGGATGAATCCTATAGTTTAGCTATGACATACAGTTAAACAGCCCACTAACAGGATGAATCCAAACAGTTCAGGGATAACTGGGAATGTATTAATTATGAAAAGCTCCCCATATTTTCTATGGACAAACATTAAATAGAGTCAATCAGTTGATGAGTTGTTCAGCTTATTAGAGAAATTAACTCGACCTTCAACACGTAATCAAATCTTTGATACTTTACCTCCAGATTGATTCCCAACTATTCCCAAATCCACAGCGTGGAAGCTGAACAAAAGCCGCCTGGACGAAGTATCCGGTCCACCTTAAGCTCTTTTAATTATTACCTTTAGCTCCTGCAATGAATAGCTGCTACTGTTTTGTTAGTCCTTCTTGGGTTAGCATTCAGCTTTTATTTAACTACAGCTAAAAGAAATGTTGGGTAGGTAGAGAGAGAGCGTGCCCTATCTGTGTGCATAATGCTCCACTTCCTCATCTGTCAGACCGAGCTCTGCTTTATGTGCTGATGTCAGACTGTAATAAGGAACAAATGCCAAACAATGACTCTAAGTCATAAAACTATCACCCAAAAACAAGTATAAAGTTAAAGGAGACTTTTGTCTAATTATGTGAACTTGGTGAAGAAAACATTTGAATGTAAATCTGACAGATTCCTGAAATGTAATACACACAACCATAGATAGGGTAGTTCTTTCTAAACACTCCCATGAAAACAAATAGAACGGAGGACTGGTTAGACTGGTTTAGGTATATTGGAAAAAAAAAAACACTTGTAGGCACATTGAGATCCTATACAGTTATGTGGACCTTATTTTAAAAAGTATAGTTACACTGTTTATACAACATAATATGTGACCACATAGACTGATAATAGAGACAGGCTGACAGTGGAGGAACGTTAAAGGTCCAAAAGTACCATAGTTTGATTATTTAAAAATAGAATTGCATTATTACTTAAACCATCAATAATATTCAGATACATAGATATTTGCTAAAATACATAATAAATTATTATGTTGATTTTTAATGTTTTTGTGTTTGTTTGTACAAACTTGTATATAATTACCGGTATTGGATTGGATTAAAACCTTTTTTATTGGTAAATAAATGCTTTTTTAACTATGTAAAATGTAACTATGTAACTATGCTTAAATTAGTGATGCACTTCTATGATATATATATACTCTTACAGTCCTGAGCTGCATCACCATCAGTATCATATGATCGAACAAATACCACATGACTGCTCCTCCTCCTGATGTAAATGCAGAAACTGAATGGAAATAAACACTGATTTTTAATATCAGCCTGATTTTGTTTATCGGACCAATACAGATATGTTTCAAAATAAACAACATCAATATAATTCCAAATATGTCTTCCATGCATAATTAAAATTAATAATAAACATTAAAACAATCAATCCAATCATGCATGAAATTATTGCCTATTTCCATCTTAGTATTTATCATTTCATATTTTTCTGTTTTCTTTGGGCTGTAGAGATCCTGTACATCCTTACATCCTTCCATGTACCATTTTAAACAATCTTTCTTTTTAATTTCTTATTCCTCTTATGACATTCAAACTGAATTCAAACTAAGCAATGACATTTATTTATAATGTAAAACTCTGACCTCTGATCTCCTTAATAACAAGTTATATATTCCTTTTGCATTCAAATGATTATGAATTATTTATGTATCTATTTATCCAATGTATCAATTATTCTATTCATTTCAGTTTTATTTCATTTAATTTAATCTTTTTTTATTGCTATTTGTATTTTTGACTGAATTACTAAGTTAAGCTTTTTTAAGATCTAATTTATGGAGATGTTGCTATAGTTTTTAAAATCTATAACAAAACTCAGAGTAGCTAATATTATGCAACATATACATCCAAAACAACCAGACTCGGGTAGTAAAAACAACTCCTATTGCGAAATCTGCTATGGTATTGTCAAAGCAAATAAAACATGTTTGGATGAGAAACGTAGACCACAAAAGGAGAAAAACAGAAATAACACAAAACAACAACAATTTAGCTCTTGATATTTGGACTTCCTGGATTCTCACATTTACTTTGTAGTTTTATATCTATTTAAGTTGACAACTTAAAAAAAGGTTAGTCCTTAGAACCAATTCCTAACCCTTGAAGCTAAATAATCTACACAGTAAAGTTTCTATGATAAGGAAAGATTGGTTGAATTGAAACTGAAACTAAAGGGGAGTCATATTCCCACAGGTGATAAAAAGATATGTGCTTATTAGCAGATATCTGCTGCTCTGATAATAAATAAGCCATCAGGATAGTTCAGAAGGGTCAATAAATAGTTCAGATTAGGGCTGGGGCATTAATTTATTTTATTCTTTAATTAATTTTTTATGTTTATTAGGATTAACTATATATATATATATATTTTTTTTTTTGGGGGGGGGGGAAATCTGGATTATTATTTTTTTTCACCAAACCACTCCTCAGGCTTACATTGCAGAGAATAACAAATCTTATCATTTTTTTGATCTCAGGCATGTGCTGATAAAATACCTGGCTGTGTAGAACCACTGACTGCAAACATTATTTTACAAGCATCTTTTACAGCTTGTATTTCATTGACCTTTTTAATTGAGCTCACCTGCTAGAGCTGATGACTGAAATAAAACCTGGCTTTTGAAAGCCATATTTCCATCATTTCTTTGAAAGTAATGTTGTCAATATTATTATGAAACTAAAGTAAAAAAAAACAATGATTCAGATTATGTAGGAAAACATTTTGGATTAGATATTTAAGCCATTGTTCCCACCAAATGTTTAAATATAAATTATATAGTAAAACAGGCTATGAAGCGTGAATCTAAACTGCTAAGGGATAATTATAAGATCCTTTGTTTAGACAATTCATGACTGTCTCCATTCATCACCATAATGCCTCCTAGTTTCTAATTGATCCTCTTTGACTAATACTGACCAATCTGATTTAGGGGCTGTAAACAGAGCTATTTTTTCTGGTAACTTCAGTGACAGATTATTTGAAATTTAAAAAAATGCAAAAAACAAAAAAACAACAGAAGCAAATGTTTTTCCATAGAAAACAGAATCCAAATTTAAAATATAAATGCTAGTCTTCATACTCACATGGATTAATGTGTATAGAGCAATGTAACATATATTTTCCAGTTTTTTTTTGGTGCTGAATGAAGGCAGATATTATGCTTAATGGCAGTAAATACATCTGAATGAATAATTATACAAGCATAAAGTTCTTTATAAAGGTCTAAATAGTCATTAAATCAGAAAACACCAACTGAAGGCAAAAGAATAAGGCAAAAATATTTATAATAAAAGAGGCAATAAGTGAGTAATAATATCAAGCAGCTCTTTAACAAATAGGAATATTATGAAAACATTTATCAATTTCAGTAATTCAGGTTAGAAAATGAAATATTATTTAATAAAATTATGCAATAATTAAGCATTTATTTTTTATGATTTTTTGGTTTTATCAAGTTTGGTTGCAATAATAACCAAAACTATCTTTTTGAACGGCTGTCTTTTATCTAAGCCCTTTGGTTTCATTTGCAGTCCGTGATAAAAACATTTTCAAACTATGAAATTGGTGGTTTAATAAAAGAGCCTTTTGAAATTTGTATCTTTTAAAACAAAAAAACTAAATAGTTTTGCTGTCTAAGTGACCTCAATGTGCTTCAAATCCAGATTTTATTTGCACAGATCTGCAGACTCCAACTATGAGCCAAAAACATTTTTTTGCAATAAGAATTTCTCTACAAGGAATTTTCAAGTTCCAAGCTCAGTAAGCCAAATCCTCCTTTTTGCACAATTTGCTCAGATGTTAAACTTTACCTAACTGATCTTTTAAAATAATGAAACCCACCTTGAGTTTGGAGGGAGACATGGGGCTTGTCGGCTGGTTCATATCTAGGTTGATCACAGAGGACTGCTCAGAATGAGGGTCCCAGTCCGATCCTGGCCGGAAACTGCACTCTGTGGAAACGCTCATCTGGTCGTAGCTCCTGGTGGAGGAAGGCAGGAAGCAGGCAGAGAAAGGGAGGGGGCGGGGAACAGAGGATGTTATGTCACTTGCTTTTGTTTCTCCTCTCAGTGCTCATATTTATGTTTTTACCATGAAGTATGTGATTGATTTGTTGTGTCAGGGTTTATTTTTTCTTTTGCAACATGCACAGGGTAAAGTGTTCTGTTAAACAAGCAGCCGGACTGCGGGCCATCCCCAGAAGCTAATAAGAGTCAAAAACAGCCCCAGCTTAGTGTTCATGTGCTGACAGCTCTAACTGCGTTGTTTCCCTAACACCCCAGTGTAAACTTGACGACACACATACAGCTGAGGCAGAAGAGGGGCAACTCACTCCATTACTGAAAAATTAGAACCCTGCAGAGGATTGTTGTACATTTGTGAGGTACTAGGAGGTACTTCTGCTTTTACTATGACTTTTTTTTTTTTTTTTTTTTGCTTTGCAGCTAGAAAGCTGTGGCTTTGCAGATTGCCCAACTTAAACCACAGCAGTAAGTTCAGCTTATTTTAACATTAAAAAGCAGGATTTTGCATATTTTATAACCCTCAACTGTCAGCAGAAGAAATGCAACATTAATGAGACTACCTGTGATCTGATCTTTCTGACAAAATAAAATTATGTCCCCATGATGCAACTAGTTTTTAATGCCATATGGCACATATATAATACTGAACATGTACTTTTGCAAAGCAGTTTTAGAAATATCATATACAGCAAGATATCCATGATATACATCTTTGCAATACTGCTTTTCTCCACAAGGTGGCAGAGGATAAAAGCTTTTTGAAACAAACACTCCTGACAACCTATAACAATACATATCTATGTTTCAATGGAGAACTCAAACATATCAAATAAACAGTTAAACTATAAAATGTATCTTGGCAGTTTCTCAGCATAAATAGAACCCAGTTAAAATAAAGTTTTTATATATCAGGAGTATTTTTTAGGGATTTCTGTCTACATGGAGATGATTTAAGAATTGGAGAATTAAAATATATTTTCAGTTATTGTTTCATTACTCTCCTTAAACTTTATAATTATTTTCTATGGCTTTATCACACATATTCCAACAAATACAAAAGCATTTGTGGATGAATTTTACAAATGTAAAAATGTTAGGCTACCTTTATGGTGTACTTATTGGCCACCTGATGCTTTTTGAAGCATTCCTTCTCTTAAGTGTCTTTTGTCCATTTTTGGCCTGTTCTAGTAGCAGCATATGTGATAGAAGACCTGACGTTTTTATCAAATGATTATTTCATGTGTTTTTATTCATATAACTTTAGTTCATAAAGGTTACAATCAAGTAATTACTTTCAAACATTACAGTTATCAAGAATACTTCAGGAGAGAATACAAACTGTGCAGGACCTTTTTATTTAAAATAAGACATTGGGTAAGGAGGAGTGGTGATATAAGTCTGCAGGAAGGTTACACAAAAAAAAAAAAAAAACAAGAGGTACAACATGCTGATTCTCTTTCATTCCTCTGTGATTGCACACACCTTCTATTTTCTAATCCAGTGATTTTACTAATCAGAGCGGGTTCTTTGATATTAGTCACCCCAACTGTAAGATATTCTAAAGTCATCGGACAAAATATACAGGTTGTTATTGTAAAGACCTAACTCAATATGAAAAAGTTTATTACATTCTACATTACATTATTTTGCTCCTCAAAACATGTCCAGATTACTATCTTATCCGATTGCACTTCCATGCATTAGAACTTTAAATTTCCTATGGTTCTTGAAGGTGACTCATCAGTCTCTAGTAAAGCAAGTAGAAGCTAGTCAATTCTAATCAAATGCGGTCGTGAGAGACTGAAAATTGCGCCAGTCTGGTCGTGCTCATACACGACTGTCACCGTGCTTCAGGTGATACAGTCCTGTTGTCCATGCCTTCAGCGCAAGGTCTGATTTAGCTGCCGGTTCTAATGTGATCTCTCTCACGGCTTCACTGCTGCCGTGGATGGATATGCCCTGCAGATATGCAGCTCCAACTTCTAGTGACTTATGTCCTAATTAAGTAAATATTTGCTTTCATAAAAAGACATGTGAAGGGAGCATGCACAGAGTTGCAAATGAGCATAACAGCAGGTTAAACCTATTAGCCTGCTTGCTCTCATGACTATGTACAACATAGGTTTATCAACTAAATGTCGTGAATATGCAAAAATTAAAAAAAATCTTACCAATTGAAATGTATTTTATCAAACCTGAAACAGATTGTAGGTGCAGCTGCTGCATCTATATTTGGCATAGATGAAAATCAGGTGGAAACACATGTGAAACTGTCTGCAGTATTTTTGAAACAAAAAAAAAATAATAATCTGCTGCATCACTGAATACTTTTATATCTGGATTTGTCTTTACAGTGCAACAGTGGTGTCTTCCACAGTTCAACTGCTGGATTCATCTGATAATTTCCAGGCCATTGGATTGCCGTACTGCTTGCATAAGGCATTGCATACCATGAGTCAAAGTTACCTATTAAAAAGGAGCAATATCTTGTACCCAGTCTGTCTGTTGAAAGCTGAAATCATTAGAAAAGCACTCGGAGTGCAGACCTCTGCCGAGTAGTTAATTTCCCCTGACATATTGAGATTTCCACCTAAAGTTAATACCATCTTCCAGATGGTGATCTGAATCGTGACCAAAAGTCAATCAGTTGTTGTCAGTCACGGTGTGCACCTTCTCTGAATATTTCAGCAAATTCCATCCATAACTTTTCTAGCTACTTTGAAAACAGACAAACCGATGCAGATGAAAACATGACTTCCTCTGCAAAGGAGTTAAGATGTATAGCAAACTGCAGCACTGATGAATAAGTTTTTCTCATTTTAAATTATTTCGGTGAATCATATGAAAAATACAACAGTTTACTATGAATCTGCGGCAGATATTTCTAATCAGTGAAGTGTCTTTTCAGAAATTAACTAACTCATAAATGAAAGCGGAAACAAATGATCACAAAGAGGCACACACATCAACGGGCTAGGAAGGAGAAATAAGGATCCACAACAAAAACAGTGAACAGACATATAAATAAATATAATAATAAAGGAAAAAGACAGCAAGAACTGAAAAAAGGCCAGACAAAAAAGAAAAGACGAATAAATGAACACACATATAAGACTAATGGACAAATCAACAAAAGCAACAGACAAAAAAACTGCAGAATGAACAGTCTGAATAAATAAAACAACAGATGAATGCTAGGACAGACGGACAGCAAATAAACGACTGAATAAGTAAATATATGAATGAACGGAACAGTGGAAAAATAAAAACAAAAACCAATCAAGTAATTGAATAAACTGCCAACTTTGTTCTAAAAAAACCTCATAAATAATAACAATGTCAAATTTTGTACTGTTTTCCACTTTATTAAGTCATTAGGAACCCTGTGTAAAAAGTTTTATTTATCATTCCCCAAAATTCAGAAGATAACTGATTTTAAGAGAAGTGAGTTTGTTGATTTTTCACTCAAAAGTATTTTTCTCTTTCCTTTTAAATTTTAATAAAACCAAAGATCCTAGACATTTGGCTAATGCAAAATTTTGAACTCCATTTTGTTTGAGAATGTGCATAAAAAAATAGACCTCACCACACTATTTTGGTATAGTTCTGATCAATCATCTTGAATTAAAACTGGATCAATACATCCACATGTTTGCAGAAGGGATTTAATAAGACTGGAGTATTGTTCTTATAAGAAAGGATCTGAAAGCTAATTTCAATATGTAGTACAACCTCCAAAGGAGTGTGAAGGCAACTGACAAACTGAGAAATGTTCACTGACTGCTGAAAAAGCAGTCAATACTTTCCAGCAACTTCTGACCCCACCTTAGTCCACAGGCTTTGCTTTTAAGCCGTGGAAGAACTCTGCATGTATCTGAAGCTGAAAGCCGGACGTCTCTGTTAAAACAAAGCTTCCCTGTCAGGAGTTAATGTGACCTCCTCTTGTTTCTGTACAGAAGCTCCTGAAAATAACCTCCAGCATTTTCCTGCTGAAGGATGAGTTGTCTGAAATCTGTCAACCTCAGACTATCAGGCTGCAGGCACAGGCCGGCTCCAACACGCCTAAACCTCCTAAGTTTCATACAAAGCTCCACTGTTTCAGGGGATTTCTAATGAAGTATGTTATCACCACAAAAAAGAAAGGAAACTTATGGGGGTTTTTTTCACACATATATCTTCTATGGATTAGTGGTAATCCAAGTAGTGTTGACGAAGAGTTATGTAGCAATGTAAGCTCAGCGAACAACAAATGCTATTAGGTTTATAACAACTATATTTTGCTTTTCATACAAAATATATAAACAAATGAGAAAAGAAATACAGTAATGGCTTCACAAATTTTGCATTTTGCATTCAGTGGAAAATTGTTTCATCAAGCTCAGGCTATTCTAAACCCTTATATTTTCTAGGAGTTCAAAGTCCAAGAGGATCCAATTACCAATAAATGGTCCACCGATCGCCACCTGGTGGTTGAGTTGGATAGGCTGGAAGGGGAGGAGGCCCGGATGGACTCAGCAGGCCCAAGTGAGTAGTAAGGGTCTGATGGGAACGTCTGGCCCTCAGTCAGGGACACATTCAACTCTCAGCATGGTTTTCATTCCAGATGTGGAAAAATGGAATAGCTCTATATCCTCTGCAGAGAGTGCAAAGGTTAATGGAAGTTTACCCAACTGGTCCACATGATCGACCTAGAGAAAGGCTTCAACTGTGTCCTTAGTGGTACCCTGTGGGGTGTGCTCCAAGAGTATGGAGTCAGTGGCCCTTTACTAGGGGCCATCTTATCTCTGCCCATGCAAAGCAGAAGTCTGGTCCGCAATGCCAGAATTAAGTCTGACTTATTTCTAGTGCATGTTGGAGTCCTGCATGGCTGCCCTGTGTCACCAGTCTTAATCATAATTTTCATGAAAGGGGCTTTGGTCTGGGGAACGGATTTTGTCTCTGCTTCTTGCAGATTATG